AAGAAAGTAGAACAGTTAATTACTAAGTAAATGGAATATTAAATGAACTATCCCCAAAGTCAATCAAGGGATATACAAAGAGTACAGAACATAATACCTAATATTTAAAGAATGGAGGAAGAAGAAAAAGGAGGATAAAAAAAGAACCTTTAGATTGTATGCAATAGCATATTAAGTGAGTTAAGTTAGACTCTTAGATAGTAAGGAACTTAACTGTGAAACTTTGGTAACCACAAATCTAAAGTCTGCAATGGCAATGAGTACATACCTATCGATAATCACCCTAAATGTAAATGGAATGAATGCACCAATCAAAAGACATAGAGTCACTGAATGGATAAAAAAACAAGATCCATCTATATGTGGCCTATAAGAGACTCACTTGAAACCCAAAGACATACACAGACTAAAAGTGAAGGGATGGAAAAAGATATTTCATGGAACTAATAAGAGACAAAAAAGCAGGAGTTGTAGTACTTGTATCAGATAAAATAGACTTCAAAACAAAGAAAGTAATAAGAGACAAAGAAAGACATTACATAATGATTAAGGGGTCAATCCAAGAAGAAGATACAACAATTATAAATATCTATGTGCCCAACACAGAATGTGCACCTACATATGTGAAACAAATACTAACAGAATTAAAAGGGGAAATAGAATGCAATGCATTCATTCTAGGAGACAACAAAACTCCACTCATTCTGAAGGACAGATCAACCAGACAGAAAATAAATAAGGACACAGAGGCACTGAACAACACATTAGAACAGATGGACCTAACAGACACCTACAGAACACTACACCCAAATACAACAGAATACATATTCTTCTCAAGTGCACATGGGACATTTTCAAGTATAGATCATATACTAGGCCACAAAAAGAGCCTAAGTAAATTCATAAAGATTGAAATTGTACCAACCAGTTTATCAGACAACAAAGGTATGAAACTAGAAATAAATTATGCAAAGAAAACAAAAAATCCCACAAACACATGGAGGCCTCACAACATGCTCCTAAACAACCAATGAATCAAGGACCAAAAAGAAATAGAGATCAAGAAAAATACGGAGACAAATGACAACAATAACTCAACACCACAAAATCTGTGGGACGTAGAGAAGGCCATGCTAAGAGGAAAGTATATTGCAATACAGACCTACCTCAGGAAAGAACAATCCCATACAAACACTCAAAACTCACAATTAACAAAACTAGGAAAAAGAAGAATAAAGGAGGCCTCAGGTCAGTAGAAGGAGGGATATAATAAAGATTAGAGCAGAAATAAATAAAATTGAGAAGAACAAAACAATACAAAGAATCAATGAAAGCAAGAGCTTGGTTCTTTGAGAAAATAAACAAAATAGAGAAACTCCTAGCCAGACTTCTCAAGAAAAAAAGAGAGGCTACACATATAAACATAATCAGAAATGAGAAAGGAAAAATAACTATGGACACCAGAAACACAAAGAATTATTAGAGACAACTATGAAAAATTATATGCCAATAAATGGGATTACCTAGAAGAATTGGACAATTTTCTAGAAAAATACAACCTTCCAAGATTGACCCAGAAAGAAACAGAAAATCTGAACAGACCAATTACCAGCAATGAAATAAAACTGGTAATCAAAAAACTACCTAAGAACAAAACCCCTGGACGAGATGGCTTCACTGCTGAATTTTATCAAATATTTAGTGAAGACCTAATACACACCCTCCTTAAAGTTTTCCAAAGAGTAGAAGAAGAAGGAATACTTCCAAACTCATTCTATGAGGCCAGCATCACTCTAATACCAAAACCAGGCAAAGACACCACAAAAAATGAAAACTACAGACCAAAATCCCTGACGAACATAGATGTAAAAATACTCAGCAAAATATTAGCAAACTGAATTCAAAAGTAAATCAACAAGATCATCCATCATGATCAAGTAGGATTTAGTCCACGGATGCAAGGATGGTGCAACATTCGAAAATCCATGAACATCATCCATCACATCAACAAAAAGGACAAAAACCACACAATCATCTCCACAGATGTTGAAAAAGCATTTGACAAAATTCAACGTCCACTCATGATAAAAACTTGCAACAAAATGGGTATAGAGGGCAACTACCTCAACATAATAAAAGCCACATATGACACACCCATGGCCAACATTTTATTTAACAGCAAGTATCTGAAAGCTTTTCCTTTAAGACTGGGAAGAAGACAAGGATGCCCACTCTCCCCACTTTCATTCAACATAGTACTGGAGGTCCTTGCCTCGGCAATCAAAAAAAACAAAGAAATAAAAGGCATTCAGACTGGCAAGCAAGAAGTTAAACTGTTCTTGTTTGCAGATGACATGATATTGTACATAAAAAACCCAAAAAAATCCACTCGAAAATGACTAGATCTAATATCTGAACTCAGCAAAGTTGCAAGATACAAAATTAATACACTGAAATCTCTTGAATTCCTATATACTAATGACTAACTAGCAGAAAGAGACATCAGGGAAACAAATTCATTCACAGTTGCATCAAAAAGAATAAAACACCTAGGAATAAACCTAACCAAGGAAGTGAAAGACCTATACTCGGAAAACTACAAGACACTCATGAGAGAAATTAAAGAAGATACCAATAAATGGAAACACATTCTGTGCTCATGGATAGGAAGAATTAATATTGTCCAAATTGCCATCCTGCCTAAAGCAATCTACAGATTCAATGCAATTCCTATCAAAACAACAACAGCATTCTTCAATGAATGAGAGCAGATCATTCTAAAATTCATATGGAACCACCAAAGACCCCGAATAGTCAAAGCAATCCTGAGAAGGAAGAAGAAAGCAGGGAGGATTATGCTCCCCAACTTCAAGCTCTACTACAAAGCCACAGTAATCAAGACAATTTGGTACTGGCCCAAGAACAGACCCATAGACCAATGGAACAGACTAGAGAGCCCTGATATAAACCCAAGCATATATGGTCAATTAATACATGATAAAGGAGCCATGGACATACAATGGGGAAATGACAGCCTCTTCAACAACTGGTGTTGGTAAAACTGGACAGCTACATGCAAGAGAATGAAACTGTAATATTTTTTAACCCCACACACAAAAGTAAACTCAAAATGGATAAAAGTCTTGAATGTGAGTCATGAAACCATAAAACTCTTAGAAGACAACATACACAAAAATCTCCTGAATGTAAGTATGAGCAACTTCTTCCTGAATGCATCTCCTTGAGCAAGGGCAACAAAAGCAAAAATGAACACATGGGATTACATCAAACTAAAGTTTCTGTACAGCAGAGGACACCATCAACAGAACAAAATGGCATCCTGCAGTATAGGAGAATATATTTTTAAATGACATATCCAACAAGGGGTTAACATCCAAAATATATAAAGAACTCACGTGCCTCAACCCCCAAAATGCAAATAACCCAATTAAAAAATGGGCAGACGATATAAAGAGACAATTCTCCAAAGAAGAAATTCAGATGGCCAACAGACACATGAGAAGATGCTCCACATCACTAATCATCAGGGAAATGCAAATTAAAACCACAAAGAGATATCACTTCACACCAGTAAGGATGGCCAGCATTGAAAAGACTAAGAACAACAAATGCTGGTGAGGATGCAGATAAAGGGGAACCCTCCTACACTGCTGGTGGGAATGTAAGCTAGTTCAACCATTATGGAAAGCAAAATGGATGTTGCTCAAAAAACTTAAAATAGAAATACCATTTGACCTGGGAATCCCACTCCTTGGAATTTACCGAAAGAACACAACTTCTCAGACTCAGAAAGACATATGCATCCCTATGTTTATTGCAGCCAAGATATGGAAGCAACCTAAGTGTCCATCAGTAGATGAATGGATAAAGAAGATATGGTACATATACACAATGGAATACTATTCAGTCATAAGAAAGAAACAAATCCTACCATTTGCCACAACATGGTTGGAGCTGGAGGATATTATGCTCAGTGAAATAAGCGAGGCAGAGAAAGACAAGTGCCAAGTGATTTCCCTCGTTTGTGGAGTATAACAACGAAGCAAAACTGAAGGAACAAAATAGCAGCAGACTCAGAGACTCCAAGAAGGAACTAGTGGTTACCAAAGGGGAGGGCTGTGGTAGGGTGGGTCGGGAGGGTGGGAGATGGGAATTGAGGGGTATTATGTTTAGTACATATGGTGTGGGTGGTCACGGGGAAAACAGTGTAGCACAGAGAAGGCAAACAGTGAATCTGTGGCATCTTCTCCACTGATGGACAGTGACTGTATTGGGCCACGGGTGGGGACTTGATAATATGGGTAATGTAGTAACCACATTGCTTTTTCATGTGAAACCTTCATAAGAATATATATCAATAATACCTTAATAACAAATTTTTAAAAAAATGGACACATTAAATTAGGACCTGGGGACACAGTGATGTACTTAAGTGGAGGGATCATTGTATTTGTATAGAGCTTTACAGTTTAAAACGTTTTATTATGTATATTATTTTCTTTACTTCCACAATAACCTTGTAATGTTTGCTTTTTTCTAAGCCTATAATTCCTGACTTCTTTGCAAATAAATGAAGTATTATATTATTAAAGTTTACTTAAGACAGAGCATTCAATGTCCCAAAGGACTTTTGATAAGGATTTTCTTAAGTAATATAATACTGGTTATTATATTATGGATATGTGAGATTCCTGAGAAACTGAGTCTTTATCAAGCAAACACTAGACACAAATTACAAACAAATTCAAGCCTAACTAATGATTCTCAATCACCTTTTGCTTAAGGTGTTTCTTTATTTTCAGTATTTCAAAATGTTAGGCTGGGAAGAAGGCAGAGGCTGTTTTAACTATCTAGACTGTCCTAGGATGTGGCTTTATCTTTCTGAAAGTACATTCTTCTTCAGAGACACTGTTGCTATACTGGTTAAATTAATCCTTCAGAATGCTATGAGAATTCCAGTCCACACTACAGTGTTTTACCTTATCGGCCTGACGCATATAGCAGTAGAGAATTCCTCTCATACATTTTATAGCTGAGTGCTCCAGCTCATGGGTCCTTCCCTTGTCATCATCAATGCGCCTGGGTGAGAGAGATAACTCATGAGACAAATTGGAATTGCATTTGAAAAGGAAGCAGAGTCTTTGATAATTAAGTATTTAACTCTCTAGCTAATCCTATGTTCTGGGGACATCTACCAATTCTGTAACAGTGAAACTCCATTTTTCCAGCAGATGTAGAAACGCAGCAATAAAAAAAAAATCCTATGATGCGACTTGTGCAGGTTTCACCTTCTTTTAAGGAAGTAAGCCAATTGTTTTATAAATAACATACAATATTTTCTACATTGACTTGGTTGAAACTTTAAAGGATAATTTTATATCGAAAAATCAACCAAAAGATTTTTTAAATTTGCTTCACAGAGTAAAGGCAACTTTTAAAATCAACTCCTTTAGGTTATGCAATGGCTACTTGGATTCAGTAAGTGAAGATTAAAGCAGACACATGCCTTCCTTGCTGTGTCATGTACTTAAGAGTGGCAGCGTGGGCACTTCAGTCAAGAATGCCTTCAACAAACACAAATTCATTATGATACATGACATACTTGGGCAAAAAGTTTTATATTCTCAGGTCTTACTTTAAAATCAATTGACCGTAATTTACATCTCTTGCTTTTAGAAAGAAAGAACAGCTAAAATCTCACTAATAAACTAGGTTAAAATGTTCTTTTTGTCCCTAAGCTCCTTTCTCATTATGGATCAGCAATTTTCAAATGGTGGATAAGAGATATCCAATACTGAAAAATAGAAGTAGCTTATTCATTGCTTCACTAAATTGTAACTAAAATATCTGGTGAGCACTCTCACCTGACAAAAAGCATCACCTGTCCCCTTAAAAAGCATATTATAATTACCTCCTCTTCCAATTGCAAATCTCATATACCACTACTAAGAAGAATGATAATCATTTTAATATAGTATGGTGAATACCAGCAAAATGAAAATTATTTGTCATTAGAACATCATTCCTCTTTTCATATATATGAAATGCAGTAAAACTAGCATGATTTTGCTCTACGCTATATTTTTTCCCCTTCTGTCAGACATAAGTGTCTTAACAGAGGCAATTTATGGCACAGATACCAGAGGTGTTGATATATGGAGGAAATAGCACAACTGCAGTGTAACAAGCTCAATGAAATGTTCTATGTCCAATTCCTACCTCATATAATACACAATATTTTTCAGAAAAAACAAGCTTTTCTAAAATTGTCTTTAAAATAATTCTCTGCCCTTAATTTCAACAAGTATAAAACCAAGACTAAAATGTTCCATAAAAATTCAACCAGAATAATGAATCCTATTTTAATGAAGTTCTCCTGTTTCTCCTTTCTACTGCAAATAGTGACCAGAAGAATATTTCTCTTCTAAGAAAGTAAAAGAGCAGTTGCATTTGAGTAAAAATAATTAGGACATGAGGATACATTTATTATCTTTCATAAGATTTAAAGTGATTGTGGTGACCCAAAATAATCTCTATGTTCCACCAGGAACTGCATTCTTTTGCAAGCTCTATAGATGCACATTCAAGTTTTAATAAGATTTGAAGAATATTTTTAATTAAAAAAATGTATAAATGAAACAACTTCAAATTAAAGTCTAGTCAATTTATTGATCATAAGCTATGTGCAAGTGTTGACCAGATATTTCTATGAAATGAAATTTGATTTTATATCTAAGCCAGAATTCCATACTTATAAATAAATATATAATAGTGAAGAAAATAGACATTTGAATCCTATCATTGGTGCACTATTTCCCCAAAGACAAGCTTCAAGGAATATAATATCAGAATATTGTTTGGTAGAAATAGTTATATAACATGATTATTTACTAGTACTAAGGTAGGGCCATCTATTATATTCATCTTCTAAAACAGTGATAAATCTAACACTGAGAGGGAAAAGCCTGATTTCCTGCAGGAAGGCATCCTCTCTCTCGCTCTCAGACAGATTGCAAGGCATCTCATCAGTTTGCCTTGAGTTTTTGCTTTTCCGAGACATAAACATTTAAACAGCCAAAAAATTCTTTTCCAAGTCAATACTCTTAAAAAATCACTGATTCTTTTCAAATATGAAAACTAAATTCCACATTTTAAAAAACTAATTTAGAGTTATTTTTTTCCTAAAAGTTATATTAAAAATAAACAAAAAATGTAAAAGCCTTACATGATATTTTTAATATAGCATAAAGTATAGATTTAACTTCTTTTAATAAATTTTGTATAGTTGAGTAGGTACAGAAACAGTTTTAACCTGAATCACATGAATCAAAGTGATGTAGTTATTTGTAAAATAATTATAATAGTTACAATTACAATAATAAAATATAAACATTATATTTATTTACATTAATTATAATAAATACATAATTATGTAATTCAATTATAATTTAAATAATAGAACATTTGGAACTACAACTTGATATATAAATGACATTTTATAAAGCCAAACATATAGTAAGCTTTTCTTCCCTCCTATAAAATAAAACAAGATTACAAAGTGGAACTGTAATAACATATGTAAGAAAAACTATTTCAAAGTATATTTTCAAAAATAAATTATTTCACTGTCTCTAATAATAAATTATTGAATGCATCCAATTGAGTAATGCATAAATTATACTCCAAAATGTGTATGAAATATAAATGTGCATAAAATAATCTTTTTAAGTCCTTAGTATATCCACACAGAGATGTAAACACAAAGTAAAAAAGATATGAAGTTTCATGAGACCATTAATAAGACTAATTGAAAACTAATGCAATTAGAAAAATCAGACTACTCATAATTTTTATAAACCAGCAACTTTATATTGTGCATTCATTATCAAAAAGAGATAAATTCCTGAAGAAAAATATTAAAAGCTTAATTTTGAGAAATTTCCAATGTAAACTATATGATTTCGTTGCCATTTGCAAGTAGAATTCTATAAATTTTGCAACATGAGAATTATCTAAACTAATCAGCACAGTTTAATTTTGTGAGAGTAAAAAGTGATTCATAATAATTCTGTGATAAGAACCCTTGCATTTCTCCAAATGGGAGAGATTTTCCCTGATAGTAACACAAGAACTCTGCTACTTTAAGAGAAGATAAATTATCCAGTGAGTTAATACATAGTGTACCCAACAAAGAGAGGACTTCAAATTCTCTATCACATGTTTGATGCCTTCTGGGAAAAGGTCTGACTCATATTTTTTTAAAGAATTTCCCCCCAACGTTTTATTTAGAATAATTTCAAACCTCTAAGAAAGCTAAAAAAACACTATAATGAATAAATCTTTTACTCTTCAAATGGAGTCATCAGTTACTAAAGTTAACTTGCACTCTTTATCTCTAATTTATTTTCTGCAATATTTAAAAGTAAGCTACAAAGATCATCACACCTACATACTTCAGAAGTATTTCCTAAAAATGAGGATATTTTCCTACGTAATCATCATATATAATATCACTATCATACCTAAGGAATTTAATGTTGATACTATATTATCTAACATATAATCTATATCAAAATTATCCAGTTATCCCCAAAATATGCTTTATAAGTGTTTTTTTTGGTTGTCATATTTTAGTCTTCCTTAATCTAGCCATCTGCACGTCTTTTTTCTAATGCTTTTTAATAGTTACATTTTTTAAGAGTCCAGGGAAGTTATCTTTTAAGTAATCACAATCTAGCATTGTCTAATTGTCTATTCACAAGTAGATCCATTTCAACGTTTTGTTAAGAAGTCAACACGGATGATGTATACTTACCACCATGTCACATCACGAAACACCTAAAGTCAGTCTATCCCATTATTGGTTTGACCACTTGGTTAGGGTTCTATTGTTGCTCACTGTATTCCTAAGACCAGTAATAGTTTGACATTTAACAAAGCTATCCTGTGCTTACATGGAATAGGTAAAAAAAAAAATACTTGTGACATTAGCAAACAAGGATGCTAAAGATGACTACTTCATATTATCTCAGTTTTTTTATTCTTTTAGAAATACAACACATCAATAATTTAAGACAGGAATCATGTTTATATGGAAAATACAATATTCAAATTAGAAGTAAATGCATATGTCACCTTCAGAAAATTACTATTCAGAATCCTAACCTTAGTAACAGTTAAAATGTATTAGTACTGACTATGTGTCAGGACCCAGGTTGGAGACTTCCTATATATAATGAAATAGATAAACAGAAATTCTGTGTTGTTAAAGGATTTTTTTTTTACTTTCATAAAATAATTATTTGACTTAAAAACCAGATTTAATAAGTGATGCCCCAAAGAAGTGCAATGGAAAAAAATACTAAACTGGCAGGGAAAGAGGTGGGAGTCCTGGCCTGGCTACATTATTAACTAGTGTACAATTTGAACAAATCTGTTAACTACTCTGGGGCCCAGTTTATCATCTGCAAAATTCTATCATCATCAATTCCTTCTATGACTGAAACCAACCAACTCAATGAGAATGGGTGGTTCATTTTGCCAAAGACATGCTGATTTACAAACCTAAAGAGAAAAGATTCTAGTTACAAAGTCATAAAATGTTAGAACTATTCTTGCATAAAATCCTTAAGTAAGCCAACTGTTTAGTTGGCTTTAGACCCTAAAAGGATGTGTAAGCTATCATAGGTCGCACAGTGAGTCAGCAGCAGAGCAAAAAGAGCTTCCCAACATGTCTCGGGCTCACAAAATCCTATCACCTAGCTTGGAGTTACTAGTAGAACACACACCAGCTTACTTACCTATATGCAAGAGCCAAAGCCCAAGCCCCAGCAGCGCAGTACAGGCTGTCCTGGACTTTGGCCTTCTGATCATCACCACATGTTTTAGTAGGAAACAGACCTGTGGTTGGACTTTGATACAGCAGTAATGTTGACTTGACTGCAATTGAAGACAAGAAAAAGAATGAATTATACAGCCATTCATTGTCCTTGGGCTGAAGGTCTTAATCTTCCCAGGTTTCCTCATCCTAATTCTGACAATTTTGTTGTTTCTAAACTTAGTTGTAGAATAAAACTTCTGAATATGCAGAAACAACTTTACTTAAATCACTCCAGCCTAAGTAGGAATCCACCTTGCATGAAGGGCTCTTTCTACTTTTGAGGAAAGGACTCAGCTAATTAGCACGTAAAAAGTCTTTTAGCATATCTTGATTAAAGTCAGTAAGTGTTTGTAAGGCAACATTAGGTGTAGCAAAAAGATCAACCAAGAATGTAAGTGTATTTTCAACAAATCAGTTCAATAGGGAAACATAATGAAAATGTACCACAAAGAATGTCATACAGTCACTAAATCCAAAACCAACTCGATTACTAAACAGGACAGAATCCTATTTCCACTGATGACTAGTTTGCGCCTGGACTTCTGAGGAATATATTCATTTCATACACTATATTATAAAGTTTAGGGGTATGTTACGATTTCAAAACTGAATCCCATCCTTGTATGACCTGAAAACAGCAAGTAAATAATTTTTTTGTGAACATTTTAATCCTACTTAAATAAAATAAGTCTGAAAATAATATTTTATTACCTTTTTTAAGAGTCTTAAAATAGAAAACTAAATACATCAGCACAACATTTCCTAAAAGCTATTTTATTCCTGTCTTAACTATAAATGGATGAATAATGTTTTTCCTCAAAATACATTAAATTACTCTGACCTAGATTGGTATATGTCAACTACTTTTAGGATACTTTATCAAAGGTCTAACGCACTCTGGTCTTTCACAGATTAAAGAATTAAATTCCTTTCTCTTTTTTCAGACTAAACTGCCATTGTCATCATCATTTCTTTCAGAATACCAGGGTATTTGTTATTTTTCCTAGGGAAAAGAACTGGTCCTCATTTAAAAGGTAGTTTTATTTCTCTAGCTAGTTATGGCTATCAAGATAATAAAAGGGCAACCTAAGAATATATGTCAGAATCTCGACCAAAATAATCTGAATCACGGTTTCACATGATATTGATGCGAATCAAAAAGATACTTATCTGAGGGGAGACAAATAAAATTATATATTATTTGCCATACTAAGCCATGTAAATGACAGTCAAAGCAAACTGACAAAAATTAATAGGCATTTCCAACTTATGGTTCTGGTAATCAAAGAAGAGACCCATACAAGTATAACTCAAAGTTGCTTACCCCCATTATAAAACAAACTTTGCCAGGCTGACTCTGGCAAAAACAAAACAACAAAAAATCCAGGGACCTGATATTAATAACAGTAACCTGATTACCTTTTGAATCTCAATGAATTGGAAATGGATATAAAAAGTTCAGGACTATGTGGGCACCATGTAGAAGTAAATGAGCAAGGAATACTTTTATCAATTTTTGTTTGTATAACTGTAAAACAACAAATAGCCTTTAGTTCTCAAATCTGGTAATGATTAGGAAGGCCAAAAGAACAGAGGGGGCATTGGTTAAAATTTTAAAATTATTCAAGGGATAGATATGACTTGACAGATTCCTTTTGTAGTCCCAGTACCAATATGCAATTGGAATACATAGCTGCTTAAGCACTGAGATACACAAACATCCAAATTTGAGAACATCAACCACATAATGTGTGCAATATAACTAAGGCAGAGTAAATACTAATACAGTTACTCAAGGACATGTTTTCCTCAGGTTTTGCTTACCAATTCGGTAATAATGATCCAATTTATCCCACAGAGTTTCATTATCAGGTCTTGGAAGATTAATGCTTTTAAGAGGTTCATAAACTGAGCCTAAAAGAAAAATGAAAACCCATCAAAATCTGTCATTTTCATCCAGATAAACAAAGAAAAGCTCTAAACAAATGAAGAAGCACTACTCTGCACTGATTTTCATTTTTATATGTGAACTGCCATATTTCACAACTGGTCATATTTTTGGTGGGAGATGAGAACAAAATAGAAGGGTTCTAAATGTTAAGAGATACCCTCCACCCTCACTCTTGGCAGTTAGTCCAAATAACTTCTAAATATTGATCGTAACAACTCAAACAGCACTAATACTCATGTGGTAGTCACTAACTCAATAATTTCAGTTCTCTTTGAAAAATATTATCTACTTATATGCCCTGATATTCAAAACCTTATTCCCTTTGTTCATGCTTCATCAGGCAATTTCCTGTCAGATGATCACACCCCAGAAACTTCAAGAAAAAAGATAATGCTGACATGTTCCAAAGTCATCCACTCCATGAGTATTTAGATAGTTTTTGTAAGGCTGGAAGTACTGGAGGGAGGAAAGCAAGGACAGTGCAAGCAGAACAAAGACAGCACCAAATGGCTCTGTGCCACATAAGGAAGGAACGGACAGCTCTTCCTAGATTCCAGTCCCGTAAAGTGCCGACAAACCCTGGATGCAGACCCGCTCCTTCCGGAAGGAGGAGACCTCTGGCTGTCCATCACCTGACCCTGAGCCCAATGAACTACCACATACCCCTGGCATGGCCCACTCCCCTCTCCCTTCCCTGTGCTTATAAAAACTCCCCACCTGCCCTGCTGGGGGCGACTTCTCCAGCCTGTGTTTCGGACTGGTGAACCTTGCCCAGCCTGTGTTTTGGACTGGTGAACCTCGCCCAGGATTGCGCTCAAATAAACTGCCTGGCCTTGTGTTGCCTCTTGTCGCCTGCTTATTTCAGTTAGAATTTATCTTACAGTTTTTCATACAGAAATTTTGAAACCCACACTTTCTCCTAGGGTAGATGATATTCATGTCTCCTTATCTGTGTTGTAAGCAGAAACTGTATCTACTTCTCAGCCATGAAAACCACTCCAAGGTGTTGGCAGAGCACACTCCTTGAAAGCTACAAGATACATAATAATCATGATAATTTGGTAAAAAATGGATACAGAAAATTGTTCACTTGACTAGTGCACTTTTTCAACTGCTGACTGCAAGGAAGACATTGGAAACTTCAGCCATCAAACTAAGTACTGTCTCTCATTCTTTGTTAAAAGCATGCAAATAATAAACTTCACAAATCACATTCAGTCCACCTCTAGATTCAGGCAACATATAGCCTAAAAACACAGCACAAGTATAAACCTATGATTTCCCTGGTGAAACTGAGAAATCCCCTTGGGGGATTTTGTAGGCATGCATTAAGAATGCTTCTAAAGAAAATTAAAGCATTATGCTAACAAAATTACTATGTCCAGTATGCCAGTTGAAAGCCAAGGTATTGGGAATTTCTGTTTAGGCAGACATTAAACATTATGAAGCAAGTATGGAAGGGATCTATATATTCAGACAACGGTCTTAGAATCTTCTGTTGGAAAAAAGACATGATTTATGGATAAAAACAGGGAATAAGAAATGACCTGCTCTGAATGAAGAGATTTTTTTAAAAACGAGTCTTTACAATGACACCAACCAGAATGTCCCCATAGTAAAGAATGGGGTGACCTACCAATATCGAACAGGAAAGCAGCAAGACTCCTACACAGTACTAAGGGGTCCAGCCATGCCCTCTGCCTCCTCCATTCAATTAGCTCTGGGTTTCTATAAGTATATAGGCAGCCTGACAAACTGGGAAGAAATAATATGGCCACTGCTTGCACATTAAGTTCTAATCTGTGGAAGTCTACACATTCTCAGTGAAGCTCAACCAATAATCAATGAAACCAAATCAGGTATAAAGCATCACAAGTTTTAAATTGTGCATACATATATATAAAGATTAAAGGAGACACCTTTGCTGGGGTGGAAGGATTGTGGATGAACATTTCTGTTTTATTTAGAGTGTTATTTTATTTAGAGTTAATATGTTGCTTCATATAGGAAAAGAGTTAATATATTGCTTCATGTAAGAAATACACACACACATACACTTTCATTACAATTAGGTAAATGTGGGTAAAATTGAAACATTTCCAGAATATCTCCCCTGGCTTTAGTATATCTGCATATCAATAGGCTATCAGAGGTGGAAAGAAGTATGGCTTTAGTGCATTTGCATCTTTCCTCAGGGCTGGAGAAATTCATCTCCATATCAATGGGTAATTACCTGAGCAGCAGAGGGCTTATCAGTACCTGAGAGGTGAAGGGGAGGGCCGGTGTTGTGGCTGCTGGAGCAGGAGAGAGAGATAGGCCGGACTGCAGTTTGTGAGCAATAAACAGGTTTTAAACTTTATTTCTCCCTTTGACTGCTTTTGGTCTTTAGGGGTATTTTGCCCCGGGATTTCCTTTCCCTGGACTTACAATTGGGTAGTGTTGGCAGGATTCCTGTGAACCCGAAATCTGTCATAATGGGAGCGACCTTTGGGAAGGCCGCTCCTAGAAATGATGGGGAGAAGCAGCGCTCATGCTGAGGGACATGTGTCTACAACTCTGTGTGGTCGTGGAGGTGCTACCACCACTGCTGGCCATGCTGACCCCGGCCTGGGGCCCGAGCGTAAGGCTACTGCTTCTGCCACTGCTGCTACTCTTGCTGCCTGCTGGAGCCTGGCCACAACTATGGATAGGAGCAGAGGTCTGGGTCACCTTGAAGAAACTGGCTGCTGTGTACCACACCTTGCTGGCTACAGAGCCATCACCAGAACAGCTCCGACCAAGGTAATAACCTCCTATCCCATCGCTGGTTGGGTGTGAGACTGGACCCAAAGGCCACCGAGTGGTGTAGCACAGACATCTACCATATATCATGTGACTGGCCATTTGCCTTTGGCATCCCCAGGGAATGATGAACAGACACATCGGCCCAGATGCGCTGGCTAGAAGGAAAGCATGCCTCTGATGTGGCCCAATGGCTACATCAGTGTTTGTTGCACATGGGGCAAAAGACAATGTGGGACCATCAGTGGGGCTTGCCTTTCACCTTTGAAGAAGTCAGCCGCGCCTGGAAGGAGTGCCCTGCACATTGTGCAGATCAGCAAACCACCAAGAGGGGCCTAGAGCGTCTCTCTGCACCCTATGGTTGGTCGCTGGTTACTGACAGAGATGGAGGTACCCACTTTATTGGACACGTGTTGCAAGGATGGGTGCAGCAATTAATAGTAAAATGGATGTGGCCCTGGACATTTCAACACATGGACCTGAAGGGTCCCCACCAGTAAGATGGCAAACTTCTGGCTTCTCTTCGGGGTCCTCAGTTCCAGCCGGCACCACCTGAAGCCCAATCACCTCTCGCCCCCCTCCCAATCCCAGCACCTAGCCAACAGCCACCACCCCGTAGAAGTGACACCTCAATCAATTCATGCCCCTTCCTATATAACCCAGCACCTTTCCCTAATAAAGCGAAACTCTCCGGTGAATTGCTGATATGTGTTGCCCCGTCTTCCCCACGACACCAGCAGCAGCTTGCCCTCGTCCTCTTTTTCCGGCGCTGGCTCATCACACCCACCACTCCTCTCTGGCCTTTGGGTAAGTTTTCCCCCCGGAGTGGGCCACTCTTCCCCGAGCTATAGCAGTGCCATTGACCGTGATCGTCAGGCAAGACCCTGACGCTCGGGGATGAGGAGGGAACTCTCCCCGCCTTAGGCCGTCACGGCTGTGGCGGACCCTCAGGCCCCTCCTCCAACAGCCATAAATCCCCACCTCAAGCCTTTACGGCTGCGGCGGATGTTCAGACCCCTCCTCCGACAGTCATAAATGCATTCACTGTCCCTTCCATCAGTGCTGAAACTTTTTAAGCAAAATTTCCCCGGGGTGGGCCACTCTTCTCCGAGCTATCGCAGTGCCATTGACCGTGATCGTCCAGCAAGGCCCTGACGCTCAGGGATGAGGAGGGAACTCTCCCCGCCTCAGGCCTTCACGGCTGCGGCGGACCCTCAAGCCCCTCCTCCGACAGCCATAAATCCCGCCTCAGGCTTTCACGGCTGCGGCGGACCCTCAGGCCCCTCCTCTGAC